GAAATACGGAGTTCTCTCTAATATGAACCATATGCTACAATGACTTGCATGCCAAGAAGATGGAACATCTATATAGACGTACCCAACACATAGGATATCACATACAGCTGGAAATGCATGATAAGGACATAAAACTCTTGTTTCATATAAGCATAGATATAAAGCTTTCTAAACCTATAAAAACCCACCCGAGAAATCTAATAGTAACTGATTGTACGAATAAGCTCCGTACGTACACAGAAACCGAAAAAAATGTGTTGAGCTAAAAGAAGAAGCATAGTAAGATACAAGGGTGATGAATGTCAAACACCGAAAATCCTCTTTTGTGGCATAGAGACAAAACCACCGAGAAGTATGACGGTGGCCCAAGTAAGCACCAGGAAACCCAAGCCTTGATGGCCATGGATAGGTAACCCATGAACACGGCATAACTGTTGAAAGTACTGACCTCACTCCAATCGCTGCCATCATGAAGATATTGCCTGTGACCCGCCATAATTCCTGGCCCCTAAAGAGTCGATCCACCAGATCAATCCGATGGTACTCCCTCCGTCTCAAAATAAGTGTCTTAACCTTAGTACAATTTTGTACTAGAGTTAGTATAAGGTCTTATTTTGGGACGGAGGGAGTATTAGCTAGCTTACAAAAGAAAAGAAAAAATATATGTTCATACTTGATACAAAACAAAATAAGAAGAAGAAAAGCAAGAAGAAGAACCAAAAGAAAAGAGAGGAAATCAACTGATCCGATGCATTTAAGAGATTGATCTGACCTGCAAGATGTGAGAGGAATCTATCATGGCGCAAACTTCGTCAGGCTGTGAGCCACGAGGAATTAAAAGAGGCAGTTCTAATCGATGGCATGGTTTGGGAGGTAAACTATAAGTTTATTTTATGCAGAGAACACGATTAGATATTGATTAACCAGCCAGCCTGTCCAGCTTAGCTTGCTCCATCAACTAACATGGTTTTGGGGGTAGACGATAAGCTTATTTTAGGTAGAGAACACAATACGATATCCTGTTCAGCTTAGCTAGCTCACATGGAGCGCGTGCATATATAACACAAGCACACCTCCAGGTAGCTAGTATTTTGTTCAAGTAACCTATATCTGCTATTAGTTCACACCTTGAGCAGCAGCAGCAATCAAGGTCTGATGGACACCGCTTTCTGGTCTATTTCTGTCTCTCTCTTGGTGAGAATCTCCGCTCGCTCGGCGGAATGGTTGGGAAGCTTATTGGATCACGCACCCTGGAATTATCAATATACTCCACGGAAAACATCCTCTAATAAGAAACTGCTACATCTCGTCTACAAAAGGCATGAACATGTTTCGGGGTTCTTCCCAAATTCTGGTTCAGAAACGCTTTCGGTTGCGTGCAATTGAAGTGACACCACTATATATTTGTGCCATTTCACTTGTAAAATGCACTGAAGGATGGAATTAGTGATGATGTTTCTCTGCCATTTCATTAGCAATTGGCTATTTACAAATTTTGCAGCCTCCAGGTGCTGAATAGACCCCCAATCATCTCCCTGACACTAACTGAGACCCGTGGAAGTGGCACAGGCGGTGTACCCATGGCAGGACATAGATCTATCAAGCACAATAAATATCTTTCCAACCAGTTTCACAGGGGGTAGATTCATTCTACTCGCGAAAAAAGGGGGCTAGATTCATTCCATAACCACCCTAAAAAACATAAGCAGAACAACTTGGTTAATGATTAACGAAGGACAAATAAACCTCAGCTACAATGCAGAACATGATCATATAATCTAGTAAAACAGAAACACCTATTATAATGCTGTAAGTTTGTACCTGCTCGTGAGTGCAATCCTGTCCTCCAATTCTGGTTCATCGCATAATTGTACGAATGAAGATGGCAAGACATAATTCACAGGTTGCGTAGCTCCCACCGGCATCGAACAGCAGCTCCTAGAGGTAGAGTAAGAATGAAGACCCTTAACACCACAAATTTCCCGGCATACAAAACAAAAGTTCAGAGCACGAGTCTCCATTCCAGAGTATGCTTAAAACAAGACTGAAAGTAATTTACCATGCAAGTATCAGGTTCAGTATTGATACTTGTAATATAACTAATACTCCCTCCGTCCCAAAATTCTTGTCTTAGATTTGTCTAAATACGGATGTATCAAGACACGTTTTAGTATTAGGTACATCCGTATCTAGACAAATCTAAGACAAGAATTTTGGGACGGAGGGAGTACCATTTAGCCTCTCTGAAAAAATCCCCAAATGTTCACTGTTCTGTATTTGACTTAATATGGTGGCATATTAAACGCCATTTACTGGGCACGCCCCTGATTTTGGCAACAACATAATAGTGTGTCAACTCACTGCATGGTTCACCAAACAAAAACACACTGCATTTTTTGGATTTGCAATTCCTTGAATGGAATGAGTAAATTATTCATCTTTTCGAGTAGAATTATAGATGTATCAAGTTTAGTCTGAAGTCTGAACATTTGCTGATGACTCCAAAGGACAACAATAGCATGAGCACATTGGGTTGTTTAATTGCCTTTGACAGTGGAACAGTGCATGCACCTAGGGTAACCTACATATAGCCTATAGATTACAAAGAGTCTCTAGGACCATACGAGAAGGATTGCATAACTTGCAAAATTCAGAAGGAGAAAATTAGGAGCTTATCTGAATAAAACTCCCGCGTGCGTCAGGTTATAAATACTTGTTACTGAAGGAAGCAGCAGGGCATCATCAACTAACAGAGCCTTCAGAATCACGTGTGGTATAGCAAAGCCCCAGCTAACATGCTTGGCTGATCTCCTGGAAACAAGAAAGAAGTATCGAGTCTATATCCACTTTCATCACATCTTCTCCAGGAAGAAAGAAAGCACCATCATCTACAACATTCAGTAAATCAGTCAGTATGCTCCTCTTTATTGTCCAGCCAATTCTTACTTGCTGAAAGTACTTTTTTTTCAAATTCATATTCACCTAGCAAGTCACCTCATTCCTTAATAGACCCCTTCCCCTCACCTTCATTGCATTAATCTTATTTCTATAATTCCCGCAGGCTAAACTAGGCACTAGAGAAGAGACACACAACTGACCTTCATTTCAAACAAGAGCTCTTCGAGCATGTGCCCATCTCCTTTGCGTTACTGCAAGCACACAGCTGAGATCTCATTTCTTCCAATTTCTACAGCCTAATATCAGGAATAAACATATTTGCACCATCCTCTCCTCACATGACTTGATTCTTAATTTGAGGACCACCAGTAAGTCTGCAATTTCTGTGTTTGAAATTCTGCAAGATTCTATAACTACGCTATATCTGACAGATAGTACTTGCATGCCTAGACTGAGATTTAACTGAAAAGAGTGTACGAAGAGATGACATTTGGTATAACTGAGAAAAAAATACTGCATTACCTTAAATGTTAAGACCAAGCTTGGTTAAGATATCATCTCTGGGGCCATCTCTTGGCTCAGGTAATAACATGACCCTTTTTAAGATTACCTTAACATAAGTTCCTTCATATTGTATGAAATGCCCTTTGTTTTTCGGCACCATACCATACAAGCATCAATTTGTGTCTCCGGTACAAATACAAGGGCCTTTGAAATATCTGTTACGTAGTGCTACATGGGTAGCATGGTTTTTGAGTCGCGACTCATGCGAGTCGCTCTGGGGCAGCGACTCGGAAGAAGTCGAGCCTGCGTTGTGACTAGTCGCGACTGAGAGTCGCGAGTCGACACTAAGTTGAGTCGACCATATTTTTGCGACTCATAGACTAGTCGTCGACTAGTCGCGACTAGTCGAGCGACTCAAAATCCATGATGGGTAGGCTGTCAAGAAAATGCTACTAGCCAACTACTGAAGTATTCAGTTTTTACGTCAGATGCTCCTAGAAAAAGTATCAGCCAGTAGCCCATCCAAGAATATAAGAGAAAAATAAACAAAAAACGTGATATAAACTACTAGTAAACAATGACCTGCTTCCACAACAGTTAATGTCTTATAAACAAAGCTACTGCAGGAAGAATGAAGAGTTTCAGCTTAGAAGAACTAGAGGAAGCAACCAACAGACTAGTTCAAAACTGCAACCTCAGCAGTGACTAACACGTTAATTCCAGATTTGTTCCCACGAAAAAAGATGTTCAACCAATTTTGGGACTTCATATCATCTTTCATGGCAAAAAATGATAACCCTTTTTCATTGAAAGATAGTTTGACTCAGGATTGCATTGAAAGCTGCAATGGCAATTGAGAACATAAACATATAGGTCCTGCAGATATACTCTTCATTAATATATTTGAAAGCATTTGCAGAATGCCCTGATGTCACACTCTTAGTTCTCAGTATGCATGACAATATGATATCAGGATGGACAGGTTAATTGCAGTGTATCTTTCTTCTCTACTGAATGATGTAATGGACATACAATACGAGAAGGATTACCAAACTAGAAAAATTCAGATAGAGAAAAGTAGGAGCTTCTCTGAGTAAAAACCCCGCACACATCAGGTCATAAAAGTAGGAGTACTTGTTACTGAAGGAAGCTTCAGAGCGTCATCAACTAACAGAGCCTTGAGAATCACGTGTGGTATAGCAAGGCCCCAGCCACCAAGATTGGTTGATTGACATACAAGGACTAACAATAAAATTATCAGTTTCATTCAGGACGAGCGATGTCAAATAAGCATGTACCTGACATACTATAGCAGACAACCAACATCCACTCGGGCAATGAACACAGACAGAGATTACCAGCTCACTACACATAGTGTAAACATTTTTGCGCCATACGCAGTTCTCATGGCCCATTCTTGGTCATGTAATTCTGAAATTAGAAGGCACTTCCCTACAAGTGGCAGCACAGTCTTCGGCGAGGTGGGGGCAGCTTCCTTGTGAGGACATACGAACTTTTCCATGAAAATTTTCTGTCACCAAGGCTGCTGAATAGTAGTTCCACTCGCGCTCTAGCAATCCATTTTCCTGCTTCCTGGTTCATGTAAATCTGAATGTAGCAGGCACCTGTCCTGTGCAAGCAGCTGCATAGTCTTCAGCAAGGTGTGGTGCAGCTTGCTTGTGAGGGCATATGAACTTCTCCACAAATACCTTCTCGCTGATCGAGACCATAGCATAATAGTCTCTGCCGTGACTTAACAATCCATTTTCCTTAAGAAACCTCATAACATAGTACCGGGGCCTGAGCCGGCCCTCCAGGCTGTAAGTGAGCATAGCGGGTCGATGAGCAATGTACGCCGGTTCCAAGCCCACCTTAGAGCGGAGGAACTCGGACTTGAGCTGCAGCACGTCCTTTGACCGTCTCAGCAGAGTCGGCAACTTGGACACAGCAATGCCAACATCGGCATCCGACCACCTCAATGTCTTCTTCAACTGTTCCACTTTGGCAGTAATCTTCTCCTCGCTGAGAAATGCGACAGCATGCAGTGCCTGCCTAAACATCCCAGAGCCACGGGGCACACCTATACGTTCGGCGGTCGCGACCATCTCCAGGGCACGCTCTGGGCTGGCGGTGATGATCATCGGTATTTGAATGAACAGCTTGGCAATATCACAAGCACCTAGCCCGCACTCTGCCAGGAGCTTCACATTGGGCTTGACCACCCTCTCGAGGTGGGAGCCGAGGAAGCCGGAGCCGTGTTTGAGCGGCCGGAGCAAGTTGTCGATGGAGCCCAAGAGCGGCAGGTAGTACTCCAGCTTGGAGACGACGGATCTATGGCGGAATTGTCCCGGGGCGAGCGAGACGAGGCGCGCGATATCAGAAGGGGATAGACCGAGCCCGGTGAGACCGACGACGACGGGGGACAGGGTTGTCTCCACGCCGGCGCAGAGGAACTGCGGATCCTTGGCGACGACGGCGGCGACATCAGCGCCGGAGAGGCCGAGGCCGGCGAGGAATGCGAGGACGGCGTCTGGCTTGGATGGGGACTTGAGGTGCGAGAGCTTGGCGGAGGCCTTGAGTGCCTGGGCAGGGGTGAGGCCGCAGGTGCCGACGAGGTAGTCCTCGACGGCGAATCCAGGGTTCGCGGAAATGGCGGCCGCGGCCGCGGAGAGGAGGCGGTGGAGGGAGAGGAGAGGGGGTGTGGAAGGAGCTGGTGCGGCGGAGAGGAGATGGGAGAGGGCGCGCTGCCGGAGGTGGAGCATGGCGCCGCGACGGCGGGGCAGCGGCGGCGGCGGAGGTGAGGAGATTCGAGTGGCGTTGAGCGCGGCGTGTGTGTCTCCGGTCGTGTGATGAAGTTTTTTTCTTTTAGTGGAGTCGTGTGATGAACTTGGCTGAGCCAAGTTACCATCCAATCCCTGCCATCCAAAGGACATCCGACGGCTCATTTCCATCTGCACGATGCCCAGAGCAAGCAGCGTCCATCATAACCCAAATAACTTCGAAGATTATTTTGACAATATACTGATCCACGATGCGTCTCTACCAAACTACAAAAGTCGGATTCATAATTTTGTTCAGCATTTGTTATTCATGACAAATTTTCGATAGGCACGCAAAACCAACAAGTAGGGTGGGAGTTCTGCGGTGGTATTATAAGAAGGCAGTTGCCGGGGTATCCAACGTCGGCCCTCAAACCGCGTGGTCCGGGCATGTTTTGTCATCCAACGTGGTCGTCGCCAGTGGGCACCTTCTTCGATCCCGTGACCTCCTCCGGCCGGTGTCGCTGCGGCGGCGGCAAGCTCAGCGCCGCAAGCCCGCCCCCGTCGACAAAGCAGCAGCAGCGCGAGGCCGACGTCGTAATCGACATGCTCGCCGCCAAGAAGCCGTTCCCACCGGGTTGCGCTAGCACGAGAGTAGTGCGTGACAAAGAGCTAGGAGCTAAGGAATAAGGATCGACCGATGGCAATGGAGTCGCTCCCACTAGGCTTCGGCGACGCCATGGACACCACCCTCTGGTCCTTCCAGGAGGAGTTCTAGCCCCAAGAGGTGAATTGCCGCCACAACACTTTGACAAGCTCATCACCACTGCCGACCCCGACGCCAGGCCATCGCTCGGTCTGGCCAATCGCCTCTTCGACAGCTTCGAGAGGTTGTAGGCCGTGGTCACCACCATGGATGACGTCGACATATGATCTTGCTACGCTGATACAAAGCCCATCTTGCAGGAAGTCATGACAAGAATGGCCTCCCTTGCCTGTGCGCACTTCCCGCCCAAAACATTCAACGCCACTCCAGAGCGTCAATGTCGCATTCATGCCTGGCCAAAGCGAACGCAATCACTCACTGTTGCCGGCATTGAAGCAGCGTGTTGGCGAGAGAGCGCTGCTCGTGCCGCTTCTCGGTGCAGGCGACTATTCCATGTTCAAACGACACGTCGTCGATCCGTCTCCCTACATTAATGATATGTTGTTGCCGAGGAACCTACTCTGGCGCCTCTCGTCCGTCCATCTGTCGCCCATCATTAACCAGACTGCCACGACCCATTGCCATTCACACGGGATATAAACTCCAGGCCCAGTCATAGCTGCAATCATCCTCCTCTGGTTCCTTTCTCTTCACGCTTCAAAGCCCTCTGGGCAGCCTCTCTTCCGAGCAGAAAAGGGAGATGGCGGCAATTTTTGCCGGCAGGCAGACGGAGGCCGACGCCGCCCCAATGGAGGAAGCGGTCGAGGACGAGCCAGCGCCACCCTCAGCATGCAACGAGAGGAGTGGAAGGCTAAGTTCTGGTAGGTGCAGGCCGACCAAGCCTACAACCTCCATCTCCTTGACGAGCACCGACGCGTAAAGGTGTTGCTCACCATTGGCGCCTCCATCATGTCGGATGTGGACGTGCCCAAGCAGGAGGCGTTGCTCGAGTCTTACCGGTCAGCCCGCGAGATCCGCCACGACCATTGGCGGTACCGCCAACGTCAGGCGGAGTTAAAAGCCACGTACAAGATGATGGACGAGGCGGCAGATGAGGTTTTCGACAAGAGCAACAACGAGGTGGACATCGCCAGCTCCGCCTCTACCAGACCGCGCCCCGCCGCCATGACCACAAAGTCGACATATCCGTGGGCACCGTGGACAGCAAGGAAGAGTACTGCATGGTAGGTCGATGTTGCTCGGGTCCCGCCGCCACCACAGAATCCACCTGAATCCGGCTGCTTATGGCCACTGCAGTCACTACCTCCCCGCCCGCCACCAGATCGACTGCCCCCTCTTTTCCTATGGTCGCCACTACCGCCTCAACCCCATGCAGCCGCCCGCAGCCGCCTCCCCTCCCGTGCTCC